ATTTGGAGACATACTGTCTTGTCTACTTGGCTCTGCAAAATTACACTTTCATGACATAAGCAGTAAGCTGCTTAGGGAAAAATTCCAGCAATTCGTCTTTCCCAACCTTGCACATAGCAGCCAGCAAGGCAATTTATAATCAGCAACTCCCTGTTCTTGTTTAATTTCCTCAGACAAAACAAGAGATTGTGGTGGGCCTGCTAGTTCAAAACAGCACAACTTGTTTCTCTTGCTTCTTATCATCACTTCATGAATCAGAGGGTGTTTTAGCCAAAGGGACCCTTAGAGTCATCTGATCTGTTGCCTAGTTTACAGATGGGGAACTGAGGCTCAGACTGAGAACTCATTCAAGGTCATGCGTGTGTAAGTGGTATAGTTGAGTCTTCAATAGTGTTTTGTTTAACCCTCAGAGTTTCCCTTATTTTCCCTTTATCTGTCTTTCTCTGTAATAATTACTCACATTCCAGGAAGAAAGCACCATCCATTGAGAGCTAGCTGTGTGCCTGTTCTTCAAATAGCACCAGACTAGCAGACAACGTGATTACCAGTCACTGATTCATATAATAAAGCTTGTGTTTGGAAGTCGGATTTCCATTTTATGAGGGAAATCTTAAGGCAGACACATCATACTGAGAATCTATGAGGCTCCTGTCTTTGTTCCCAAGCTGTTCCTTCACCATTCTGGAGCAGCCTTGTCAAATGTGATGAAGGCCTCATCACCAGAGTTAGGAACAGCTTTGCTGCTTATAAAGCTGGATTACTTGGGGCAAGGTGTTTCCCCCTTCTGAATCTGTTTCCTTATTTAATAATGTGGTGCAAGGCATGTACTTCTTATAGTTACTGTATTACATATGGAAGTAAAAACATAAAATACAATGGAAATGAGGGGTAGTAGGGAGTGGGAGAGGGAGGGCAATGTTCAAAAGTGCATCATTGGAATGAAGAGATGACAGCTCTGAGTGGTTGGGAATCTTGTTGGTACTTCTGCCCAAAGACATGAAACTGATGAATGTCCCCTACCTGGTGACTTTACTCCAGTGAAAGGCATTTTTGAAGGGTTGCGCTTCCCATGGGAATCTCTTTGGAAGCTTGGGTTGGAAAGGCAGATTCTGTCTTGTGTAATAAGCAAAAAGTGGCAGGAGAGGTGATTTTGATATCTCTTTCATGAGTGGTGGGGAACCACAGCTGCTGCCTCTCAGGAAAACAAGTATCTTAAAGTTTGGGGAAGAAGTGGCAAATAACTGAGTCGATTGGTAGATTCTATAAAAGTCACCGTTGTGCCTTGAGCATGTTTTTTGGGTTTAATCCGGTGCCTTGAAATGTGAAAGACACAAAAATAACGTGCAACCAGATCCACATGTGTGAGGAGTTTACCTTCTGACTGGGGACAGATGATAACCAAGATTATCTGAGATTAACAACCCAAACTGTATTGGAAGGAAAAACTGTCAGATGTCAGAAGAAGCAGATTCATGCAGGGTGATAGGGAGTCAGTAGTTACTTGTCGAATGGAATTGTGAATGTAAGCCTTGGAATGTTATGTAGCAAAAGATGAGCTGTTGTTCCAAGCGGGGATAAACCGTGGGTTGAACACAGAATTTAGGGGACACTGTGAGAGTCTTGACTGGAGCAGAGGGTGGAATTTGGCAGATGATGGAGGCTAAGGTGGATAATTAAGGCCAGGATAATTTTGGAGGATTTAGGAATCTAGGAGTTAAGGAAACATATTGGTTTATGGGGTGTGTGTGTGTGTGTGTGTGTGTGTGTGTGTGTGTCTGTGTGTTTATAACAGTCCTTGGTATGTGTTTGTGCTAGGTGCTGCCTTTGAGAGTTTCTGCCTACTTTCCTGCTGACAAGAACGAGGAAGGGATGGAGCTTGGTCATTACACAACACATTGTGACACAGCAACCTCATTACTTCCTGTTTCCATCTGCGAGCAGGGCCACTGGAAGGAACAGACCAGTTCTGTGGGAGTCAGTGAATGGGGCCTGGGGGGGAGTCAAGGACATGAGATCTACATTTTCTGTGGAAAACCAGACATATACTTAGTGGGCAAAACCATTGAGTCACCCGACTCTCAGATGAAGGAGGAGAACTTCAGTGGAATGGCAGCCGTGGCCCAGTGGCCCAGTGGCCAAGAAGAGGTATAGGAGTCCGTGGGGAACTAACTGCTACATCTCAATCCAGTGTAGTTTCTCCGAATCCACTTCATTGGCCCAACCTTGTTCTGAATTCATAGTCTAGTCCAAAAGCTCAATAGTAAATTAATTTCAACATAATTTGTCCAGGCTTCTGTGCCAAGACTACAAAAGAACACTCTTTGGGTAAGTCCCTCCAAAAAGAGAGACCACTTAAAAAAGATGTGGCTGGAGGTGTGCTCCTTCCATTCACGGATAGACTGCGAGGTAAGGAAAAGTCTGCAGTCAGGCTGCAGACATAGGGTGAATTGCAGGTTCGAGAAAGAGCAGGGAGTACCCACAATTCACCGTGCGGGGACAACTTTCTTCGTTTTTTTAGTGACCCTTGTGTGATCTGGCAGATGGACTGAATGACCATCCTCATGCACTCATTAGAGCTGCAGATATGGGGAACATCTTTGTTCCTTGAATCGTCAAGTGAATGACTAGAACTGAATCTCTGAGGTGGTTCTTTCCTCCTGGAAGGATGCAGATTCCTTATCAAGAGAGTGAGGGTAACAACTAGACCTACTTTAAAAACAAACAAACAAAAAACCCAGCTTTATTGAACTCTAATTTATATACTATAAAATCCACCCCTTTCAAGTATATAGTTCAGTGAATGTTAGTAAATTCACAGAGTTGTGTAACCATACCCTCAATCCAGTTTGAGGATGTTTTCACCTCCCTGAAAACCTCCCTCATGCCTGCTGTGTTCAGTCGCCCTTCCCTCCTCTCCCCTGCCCAGGCAACCAGTAATCAGCGGTACTATCTCCCATAGATTTGCCTGTTCTGGACATTGCTAATAACTGGAAGCCTAAAATAGGCATTTCACATATGGTTGTCATTTAGCATAATGTCTTTTAAGTTCCCCTATGTGGTAGCATGTGTCTGTATTTCATTCCTTTTTGTTGCTGAGTAGTGTTCCATCGTACGGATATATCCTAGTTTACGTATCTATCCATGCATCAGTTGATGAATTGTTTCCACTTTTTGGCTATTGCGAATAATGTTGCTATATTGGTTTCCTATGACTACTGTGACAAATTCCTACAAACTCCAGTGGCTTAAAACAACAGAAATGTATGCTTTCATGGTTCTGAAGACCAGATGTCTAAGGTGAAGGTGTTGCAGCCCACGCTCCTTCTAGAGACTCTGGGGAGAGTTCATTCCTTGCCGCTGCCTCTGGTGGTGATGCCAGTCCCTGACGCAGCCTTTTCCTCCATCCCCATGTTGCCTTCTCTTCTGTGCATCTCCCCTAACTCCCTCTGGCCCTCTCTCCCCAGGATACATGTGATTGCCTTTAGGGCCCACCCTGATAATCTAGAAAAAGCTCTTCTTCTTAAGATCCTTAATTTACTCAAATGTTTGGCCACACACAGTAGCATTCACAGGTTCCAGAAATTTGATGTGGCTATCTTCTGGGGGGCTATGTTTCTGCCTACCGCAGCAGTTGAGAATATTCACATAAAGTCGCTGCACAGATGTGTTTTCATATCTCTTCATAGGTAACTGGGAATGTCATTGCTGGGCCACAGTGGAAATTTAGGTTTTGCTTTCTAAGAAACTGTCCACCTGTTTTCTGAAGAGGCTGGGCCATTTTACATTCCTGCTCACGATGTCTGAGGGTTCCAGTCTCTCCACATTCTTATCAGTTGTCTGCCTTTTTGAAACTATAGCCATTCTAGTGGGTGTGAAGTGGTAACTCATTGTGGTTTTAATTTGCATTTCCCTGGCGACTAATGATAAGTATCTTTTCATGTGTCTTAGCCAGCATATGATTCTTGGTAAAATGTCTCTTCAGAGCTCTTACCCATCTTAAAATTGGGTTGTCATCTTTTTGAATTATAAGACTTAGCCTATTTTTCATAATCTGGCCCGGTCACTGCCAGTCCTAATGATGTGGTGATTGAGGTGACCTTGATGAGGAGGCCTGGGATCATCCAGGTCCCCAGGATGCCTGGAGCTGGGATAAGGCAGCCATGGCTGCAGCGTGTCCTGTCAGTCCGTACTTCTCAGGTGGATGAGACTCACGCTGGCCTTTTGACTCCCGATTACTGTGTCAGAGAAGCGAGGAGATGACTCATTCTGTGTCTTAGAGATCATAAGCTCAGTGGTGTTGTAGGCTGGCTGTTATCTGATGAACAAGGGGACTGATCTAAAGAACCCCACAGCATATTCTCATTGTAGCCTGTTTTCTTTTTCTTTTCTTTCTTTCTTTCTTTTTTTTTTTAACGGTTAATTTATTTTAGAGATAGAGAATGCTAGCAAGAGCATGAGCAGGGGGAGGGGCAGAGTGAGAGAGAGAACCCTGGAGCAGCCTCCCCACTGAGTGTGGAGCCCAATGCAGGGCTCAATCCCAGGACCCTGAGATCATGACCTGAGCCAAAGGCAGATGCTTAACTGACTGAGCCACCCAGGCGCCCCTAGCCTGTTGTTTCTTTTTCTTTCATAACTCTTGCCACAATTTAGGTAGTTTTTTCTGTAATATCATACATTGAATATCCTCCTCTCTCTCCTAGATGATTAAAAACCCCTGGGATAAGGACCACATCTGCGTGTTTTGTCACTGTCACCGGTCTCTAACACAGTATGCAGTAGGCAACCAACCAAATTTTGTCAGATGGAAGAATGACTGGAACATACCAGTCATGGGGGTCGAGGAGGATGTCCTCTGCTTTGCAGTGGGTGATTCACACGAAAGCATGAAATAGAGGGTTGTTTGTTAAATAAGTCATTCATTAGCCACTGCATGTGCTGCTTAGGGACTTGTATTTTAACTGCCACTGATGCCATTTCCCCCATGTATTTCTCCTTTTCAGCTATCTATAACTACAATGCTTCTCAAGATGTGGAGCTCTCCTTGCAGATTGGAGACACGGTTCACATCCTGGAGATGTATGAGGGTAAGTCTGGATGGCCTTCTGCCAGACGGGGAAGGGGAAAAACGGTGGAAGTTACTTATTAATAAGGCGCTTAGAGCAAACATCAATATGCTTTACTTCCTAAAGTCGTGCTAGTAAAAATCCAGGAAGTACTTTAGGTTATACAATTTCCTACCGAGGATGATTTCAAAACAGCCCGTTGAATACAGGAGTGCAAACGTGCCCAGACATCCAAATCTCAAAGTATGTGAGTCGTTGAAGCCACGTGGGACACCAGATTGGCTGTCATGCCAAGGGGCACTGCTGATTAAGTGGCTCTTTCTACTCAGCACTAACTGTTGCCAGATTGGGGGAGAAATGAGGGAGAGACCTACTGGTGTTGCTGAGATTCTTTCACAGAATTAGGTCAGGGCTACGGCGGATCCAGAAAGCCCACTAGTATATTCCTTGCAACTAGCTCGGACCACAGAGGTGGTTCCAGTTAACCTGTTACTGGGCTGTAGAATAGTACTCAGAATTCCTGATCTATCTGAGAGGCACGAGTCATGTCTGCTTCCACTGCATCCCACCCCACCCCAAGCTTTTAGCTCCAACTCAAACTCTCGGATTCCTAGCAGGACTCTTCCATGTATCCACATTTCTGATTCAGATCCCCAGAGTACAACAAACATGTGTCCAGGCCACTGAAGTTGAGGACCAAAGCAAAGACCAACTTTTAGGGCCCATTTATTCTCTCTGAAGATTGAGACAGGAATGAGGTAGGACGCTAGGCAGACTTTTCTCATAGAGTGAGGCTTGTGAGAATCAGGATCTCTAGATTTTCAGGATCTGCACTCCCCCTCACCCCAGTAAATGCTCATGATGGTGGAATGGCAGAGGTGGTCAAGAACCTAATGTGGATTCCTAGGATGGGGAAGAAAAGATGTGAAGCCAGGAGGAAAGGAAGCAAGGTTTGGCCATAGAGAAAGCTAAGTCATTCTGCCCAATTGCACAGAAGACTCTGTTATTCCTGCTGCCTCCCTTTATTTTTAGGCAGAGGGCAGGGGTTTGCTTCTCCCTTCCACACAAATCAAAGTACAATCATGCAGCTCTTAGGGGAAGGGAAAAGGCGGGGGGGGCTGTGTGGACTCTTCCGCTACTCTCTCTTTTCTGTTTTCATCCTCACCATCTCAGGTCCAGCCCAACATCAATTCCATGGAGTCCCTAAGGCTCTGAGACACAAAGGACAATCCACTATCGTCTCGTCTCGGGACTCCTTTAAATATTGAAACCACAGTCCCCTCAATACTTACCAGGTCATACCTCTTTGTTAGGGGCCAGATTAATCCATTCTATTTAGTGTATCTATGGGCACACATTTTTGCATTGTACAGGTGAATCGGTATCTGTAACTCTTCCAAATGGGCTTGAAAAGAATGTATATTAGGATCACGGGGTGAGAGTTCTAGATGACAATCAGATTCTGATTTCTCCATCTTTTTTTTTTTTTCAAATTTGCTCTATGTTTATGTTTTTCTGCATTTTCCATCACTGAGAGAACCATGTTAAATCTTCTACAGTGCTTGCAGTTTATGTCAGTGATGATTTACAGTGATGTCAGTTTTTTGCTTTATATATTCTCAGACCTGTTTTAGGTACATACAACTTTAACTTTAGAATTGTTATATTAAGCAATTTGAACTTTTAATTCCTGTTTATTAAATCTTTTACCATTATTTTTGTCTGTAGCAATGCTTTTTCCTTTAGCCTAGTTTGTCTGAAATTACAGTTAACTCATTGGCAGTCCAGGATTCCAGTTTTTGTTCTCTTGGACTCACGAGGCCATCAGAAATGCTGCCCAGCCATTCAGTACACTTTTTTTAATTCAGCAGGAACCCCAAGAAGAGAGCAGCCTCGGATGCTGGTTTCATCTTTCTGAGTCTGGGTCTTTTTCAGATCTTGACGTCATAATTCCCATTTTACCATGTTAGATTTTCAGTATGTGTGCGTGTGTGTGTATGTGTTTGTGTGTGTTGTGTTGTCAAGTTTTTCTAAGTGTACTGTGTGTGTAGGAGGGAACAGTGGAGAGTTGATTGGAAATAAAGTAGATGATGTCTTTTGAATACATTTTCAAAATTCTTTTTCATCTCTATGTGACCCCAGCATATTTTTTGAAATAGCTAATTGGAGCACTTTGTCCTCATAGGATTCATATTAATGACCATTTTATATTTGCATCTTCTCCGTACTTTACTGAGTAATCTCCCAATTGACCAATGAACATTCCTAAAGGTAGCACTCCTCTGGAGCAAGCTGAGGGGGTCACTGAGCTTGGTTGAATATAAATGTAATCAGAGATGCACAAACACATTCATTTCAAGTCCAAAAGCCACAGTGCTCCCTCCCAGCGTTCTGCAGCTCGGACAGTGGTATGCTTGCCGGTGCCGGCCCTGCTGATAGACGTCACACAAAAACCTGCCACTTTATTGATGCTGCATCTTGAATATGATGATCCTGGTGCTCTAGTCCTGACAGCAGGAAGCTTGTGTGCCTGTTAATTGCTACCATAAAATACTTGATCTGCCATAGGACTCCTTGATGTCGAAAAAGGATGTCTGTGTCCATTCGGCAAAACTGCTGCGTGTCAAGGTATGAATGGGCAGACTTAGAACATGAGCTTACAGAGTTCATTTACCACCACCAAGTGGCCTGTCAGTTTTACAGAGATTCTTATATTGGATTAAGCTTTTATATAGTGCTTATTTTATGGGATTAATTTTTTTTAATAGTGCCCTCCTTGCCAGATGCAGTGATAGGTTCTTCTATCTCCTAAGTACTTTGAGTTCTTGGCTGGGTTCTCAGATTCCTTTATTATTTCAGGCAATGCAGGACTAAGTGAGGGCAGGAGTACTTTGCAAACATTAAACACGGTGGAAAAGCTGAGTAATAACTTGAGTTCTCTCCCTTCCTCCCTCCCTCCCATCTCTTCTTTCCTTTAAAAAAAAAATAATAAACAGAATGGAAACACCCAGAGTACTGCCAGATGGAATTTAAGGCTAATGCTGGCACTATCTTCCAGCTTCCTGTCGAATTTGGCTCCCAGGGCTCCCCACTGCACGCTCTGCGCCCCCCGCCCCCCGCCTTTGCGATATTCACATACCAGACCAGTGGGTGCTTTTTCCGGTGTGGACAGGAGTCTACCTTTCTGGAGCCCAGATACAGAAAATTCTTTTCTGCCCACAACCCGCCACAGAATACCACTTAGGACTCTTGCTGTTTCCTGCCCTGTGGTCGAATGAATAATTACGAAAGTGGTAGCTCCTTGAAGGCAAAGCCCGCTCCTCTTTCATGTCAGGGCTGGTGCCTAGCATAGCACCTGGCATAGAGTGGGTGTTCTGCAGAAGTCTGCTAAATGAAGATAAAATACGAGACCAAGGCAAACCCATTGGAGCAAGGCAAGCTAGTGTGGAGAGTAAGAGGGGTAGGGGGGTCACCTCCATAAAACCCCAGATATTATAGGCAAAGCTGTTTTTCTCCTTCCATGAGGGAAATACAGGAGGTTCCAACATTTCCCTGCCCTTTGCAGACTGCAGAAGGATTGGTTATTGCATGAGATTTTTGCTGTTGTTTTTAATAACAGCTTCATTGAGATCTATTTCAAATACCATGCAATTTACCCATTTAAAGTACACGATTCAATGGCTATTTACAAAGTACGCCATTCACAGAGTTGGGCAACTGTCATCACTATCTACTTTCAGAACATTTTGATTATCCCAGAAAGAAACCCTGTACCCATTTGGTGGTCATTATCCCCCAGCTCCGAGCAACCACCAGCCTAATTTCTGTCTCTGTAGATTTGCTGAGTCTAGACATTTCATGTAAATGGGATCATATAATATGTGGTCCTTTGTGACTAGCTTCTTCTACTTAATGTAGTGTTTTCAAGGTTCATCATCATTATAGCATGTATCAGTACTTCCTGTCTTTTTATGGCTGAATAAAATTCATTGTATGCATATATCACATTTTATTTATCCATTCATTAGTTGATGGACATTTGGATTGTTTACACTTTTAACCTATTCTGAATAATGCTGCTATAAACATTTATGTACAAGTTTCTGTGTGGACATATGTTTTCACTTTTCTTGGGTATGTTCCTGAATTGCTGGGTCATATAATAGCTTTTATGGTTAACCTCTTGGGGAACTGCCAGACTGATGACTTGAGTTTTGCCACTAAAATAGCCCAAATGAGTGAGCTGTTATCACTTACTCATGTCTTTCTGTCACCTTGCCCCTGAACTTCATTTGTTACTAAAAATAGGGGCAGGGAAGTAGAATTGACTGAGAAGCTATATACTGCACATCTTTCACAGGCCCCCAAGAACTATTTTCCTTCAGAGACTTTTTCAGGGAACAAAAATCCTCAAGGGCTGAAGCAAGAGTCCTCTCTCTTTTCTTTTTCTTTAGTACTAGCCTAGCCTGTAGTCATTGCCTTGTCTTTGCTTCTTTAACCAGACAAGGGATTTGATAGTGAGACAGCTATTCCCCATCTAAAATGTTCTTTCCCACCCCAGATCCATGGACATGGCTGAAAAAAATCACTGCTACCTGGAGATTCCAGTTGTGGTCATTTGTTCATTCAAAAACACTTGCTGAGCAAGTATTATGCTCTTTATTATATGCCAGGTACCTTTATTGAGCACAAGAGATGTTCTAGGCACTGAGGTCACCTGAATGACGAAACAGCAAGGTTCCTGTTCTCATAGAGTTTCCATTCGAGGGATAGACAAAAACAAGTGAACTAAGTAAGTAAACAAAACAATTCAGATACTTAAAAGTGCTACGAGGAAAAAAGGTTGGTATTACCAGGCCCAGAAGAAGATGAGAGTGATGGACAGGGAACAGAGGGATAAGGCAGGACTACTTTTGTCCCTTTTGAGGGTGACCATCCTGGGCAGGACACTTAAACTCTTTTTGTGTCATGGTCATTGCATCTAGAACTGGGTTACTTTTTGAATTGAAAGTGATTAAATG